ATCTATGTATCAATAAATGTAGAGAAGGACCCTTTTAAGAAGATCTACAATGATGTGTTATAGAGATAAATACCTTTATATTTTAAAGATTTATTCCCTTATTTGACAGGCAGAATTAGAGGGAGGGAGAAAGAGCAAGAGAGAGTGAGAGAGAGAGAGAAGGAGAGTGAGAGATATACTCCAGTGCTGGGTCAGTCTGAATCCAGGACGTGGGCTTCTCCTGGTCTGCCTAACTGGTGGTAGGGATCCAAATGCTTGAGCAACCTTGCACTACTTTCCCAGGTGTATTAGCAGGGAGCTTGTTCAGTAGTGGAGCAGATGGAACTGAAGGTGGCATCTATGTTGGAAGTCAGTATTGCAGGCAGTGGTTTTATCTGTTATACCACAATGCCAGCCCACAAGTGCCTTTTAAACAAGAGGCATGTTGAGAATAAAAGAACAGAAAGCAATTTCATGAAAAGACATCAGGGTGCCTTATAAAGTGAGAGAAATCAAACTGAAAAGACAGCAAGTTTTTTGATTCCAAATATTATATATTCTGAAAAAAAGAGAGAATAATTAATGCAGGCAATAAAAAAATCAACAGTTGTGAGAAATTAGAATGGAAGGAACAATGGATGTACATTTAATGAAAAATTTTCAGACAGTTAAAAGACATGCATGTGCTGCTATAGTGACTGAGACATCCCATTCTGATTTTAGCAAGGTCCATAGGATATACGACATCGGGAGTAAACTTAAATATAGACTCTGCACTTTGATGTGTTCATCTAGATTTATTAACTAAATTATAACAAATGTACTGCCCTGATGTGAGATATTGATTAAAGGGGAAGGTATTACCCTGCGGAGGCACAAGTTGCCTGTCCATATCTCTGTCAGTTTAACTGTGAACTTCCAAGTACTGTAAGAAAATCATTTAAAAAATGATGCAGCAAAACTCTGAAAACTGCCTTGCCAAGTGTTTTAACTCATCAAGACAGTCCTGTAATCTGAGAGTAAAATCACTGGAAATGGAATGAGGTGGTAAAGTTTCTACAAACCATTCTTTCATATCTGTCTCTTCTTTGTGGCAAAAGAGTAAAAGGTTTACTTCTCAAAGAAAAAAAAATTATGTATTAAATTGCATGAAAAAATGTAGTTTTGGTTCATATGAATCAGGAGTTTGAATTCCTCAGTGCTATTCTAAGACAGTTTGATATGCTCAATTCTTGTAGTTCTTGATTCCTGAAAGCCTAACGTGAAAATGGCAGCAGTCTAGGGGTCAAGTTACTGGATAGTAACTAACCTGGATGCACATCAGCAGAATAAAGCATGTATGCTTTGAAACAGATTCTGGTAAACCTTCAGGAGCTACTGATGTACTCATATGGAAAGTACAAATGCTAAGTAGGCCAATCATGAATGTTTCTCCGTATTTTTAAACTTGAAAAAAGATGCATGGGAAGAGTGAGTATAGAAGTCCCTTTTCTGTTAACCAACACACTTAATTTCTTATCCTTAACTTATACATAAAGGAATTATTTGCTGCACCTAAGCTGGAACGCACCTAACTTGAGTCCAATCCCAGACTGTCAAAGTGGAGGGCGAAAGTTCTGAGCATGCTTAGGAGGCAGAACCAGAGGCACAGCTACTTCTTTCCTCAACGGAATGAGACACCACTAGGCAGCATTTAAACCTATTTTTTAAACAAAAAGATTTATAAAAGATACTGGGCAAAAACAGGACAGTATTGGATGGCTTATTACAGAAATAAATCTTCAGGAATTATTTAGAAAATGAAATCAAGAAAATGTGATGACAAGTTAGACACTGAGGGATGTCACTGGCAAGAATGATTCCTTAACCTTTTTGCACCTGGAAGGTTGGCTGAATTGATGTTGGGGAGAAGGAAAAATGTGAGTTTTGACTTGGGCATGTTGAACCAGAACTCTTTTAAGAATATTCTACAAAAGTTACAAAAATTCACTTTGGTATGAAAGATTGAGATGTAAAGGAATGAACTGTGATTATGTTTTGATTCCTCTTGAGCCACAAAGATTGGGAAAGGGCTTCAGCACTAAGACTTGAACAATTATCATTAATGCCAGTAAATAGAAGAAAGGCATGTAAGAGATGAGGGAATCAATTGCCTGAGAGCTATGAATGCACCCAATAATATTGGGACAGGTACTAGGTACAATGGTTTAATTTGCTACTTGGAATACTCAAATCCCACGCAGGAGTACCTGATTCTAACTCTGGCTACTAGACATACAATCAAGACTCCAGTGTATTCTGGGAAAGAACAGATCATGACCTAAATACTTGTGCCATCCACGTGGCAGACCTGGGTGGGATTCTCACTTCTTGACTTTCACCTGTCTAAGCCCTGGCTGCTTGAAGCATTAGGCAATGGAAATATCTCTCTGCCTTTTTTGTTGTCGTTGGCTCTTTGAAACAGAATTAAATGAAAGGAAGGGAAGAAGGAAGAGAGGAAAGGAGAGGAAATGAAAGGAGAGGAGAGGAGAGAAGAGAAAAGAAAAAAAAAAGGAGGGGCCAATGCCTTGGCAAAACAGACTAATTCTTCACCTTCATGTGCCAGCATCCCATATGGGCACCAGTTTCTGTCCCAGATGTTCCATGTTTATCCAACTCCACGTTCATGTCTGAGAAGGCAGCAGAGGATGGTCCAAGTTCTTGAGCCCCTATAGCCATTTGGGAGACCCGAAAAATGTTCCTTGTTCCTGGATTGAAATGGCTCTGCTCCTGCCACTGAGTCCAATTAGGGAGTGAACTACCAGGTGGAAGATCTTTGTTTCTATGTCTCCTACTTTATGTGAGTCTGCCAATAAAAATAAATAAATCATTAAAAATGAGTATGTCTTCATAAAATGATATGAATGGTTAGTGAATGTTGTTATTGACAATGTAAGAAGCTATTGGTGGTTTCTGAACAAGAATATAAAATATATTTGATATTTAATAACGCGGAAGACTTGGTGACCTCACTAAGATATGCTGTCATGGAATGAAGGATGACAAAGTCACGCTAGTGCTGTTTGTAATATTAAGGAAATATTAAACAAAACATACCGTGAAATAATCTTTCTGTGTTCATGGGGTTAAAAACAGTGATGAAAAATAGCAAAAGAAGAAAGTGAAAGTTGGAGAAGAAAGAGGATGTGAAATGAGGCATGTTTTCATGTACTTCTGTTTCATCTTTAAGGATTCACTTATCCAAACATGTATGTACCTGTAAGGCAAAGTGATATAGCTAATAATGATAGGGAGATGGATTAGGATAAAGATATTGAGAGACAGAGAGAGAGGGAGAGAGAGAGAAAGAAATATAGAGTGGGCAAGAGAAAGATTCTTTCATCCATGTGTTCACTCCTTAAATGGCTACAATCTCTGGGACTGGCTGGCAGGGAAAGATCAAAACCCAGTCAAGAACTCCATTGGTGTCTGTCATGTTAGTTTCAGAGCACACCCACTTGGGCTATCTTCCATTGAATTCCCAGGCACATTAGCCAGGACTTGTGTTTATAACAGAAGTTGGAACTCCAATCTGCATGCCAATATGGAATGCAATTCAACTAGCAGCTTAAATGGTTGTTACTGAACACTGGTCTCTTGTTTTACTTTAATGTGAGAGATTTGAATACAATAACACATTTTAATTTGTACAAATTCAGTGAAGTCAAAGCATGCAAGGGAAAGATCTAGCAATTAATATTGTAATTTGTGAAAATTATGAAGGTATAACTTGAAAAAACATTGATTAGGAAAAGAAAATCAACATTTTTCATAATTGTATTGACCTTGTGTGTGTGCTTTTAAAGTTTTCACACTGAAGAAGAGCTGGCATTGTGACATACAATATGAAGCCATTGTCTCCCATTCAGTCCTCTCATATGAGTATTGATTTTGGCTAGAACTGTTCTACTTCCAACCCAGTTGCTGCTGCTATGCACAAGAACACAGTGAAGGATGGTCCAAGTACTCAGGGTCCAGCAAACTCATGGGAAACAAGAAGAAAGCTCCTGGCTCCTGGATTTGGCCCGCTCTATTTGTTTGCATTTGGGGAGTGAATCATTGGACAGAAAAGCTCTCTCTCTCTCTCTCCCTCTCTGTCACTCTTTCCTTTTTGTAGTTTTTGGATTTCAAATATATATATATGTATATATATATATATAAAGAAAAGGAAAAAAACAGGAGAACAATAGAGGGTGCTTTTATCTATTTTTAATAATCTATTTTTATTTATTTTCCTTATTATTCTAATGAGCTTAGATATTGTATTTATTGTAGCATGTTAATGGAGTAGAAGCACTATGCTACTTAAATACATGTGCACTTTGAACTTGCATGCTATTTGATACATTTGAATGCCAATATAGCAATCTAACTAGCTATTTTATGTCTGGAAATTTATCTAATCTTTCTTAGCCCTGATTTTTCTCATCTTAAAAATTGAGACACTTACAGTACTTTAAATATCAGTGACCAAATGATACAACAGAATGCAAACTGTCTAGTGATGTATTTCTCACTAAGCATTGCTGCAACATATCGGTTGCAGCAACTAAGACTATGTTATAATCATAAATAGTGCAGTCTTTTTAGAGCATATCCACATTTCTGACGCTGAAATTGATCTAGAGGATCTTTCATATTTATACTCTGTAGTAGATACATTGTCATATCCTAATATACTTTAATAAAATGCATATATAACATGAGCAAAGCATTTTATTAGTTAGTAAGAGCATTTATTTTACTGTTTTTTTAACTAGTAAGAGTATTTAGTATGCAAATACTAAAAATAAATAACTAAACATTAAAAATAAATAACTAAATGTTAAAAATAAATAACTATAATTTTGAGTCATACATTTGCAACTACAGAATGGGATAATATATTTTTTTGACTGTCCTAAATGATTTGTTAGGTATGAGGTTTAAAAACATGACTGGTGTTAGCGGAAGCGACGCAGCTGGAGCGTGTTGTGCCTTCTTTAGGCTGCACCGGGAGAACCACCAATCGTGTGGTGGAACTTGGGGCCCTTGCCAAGGCCACGACTCTTGTGGCCTGCAGAAGTCAGCCCACGCATCTCCCTGTGCTTGTGGACGGGCTTGGTGATCCATTGGGTGTCAGGGTTTCTTCTGATAGCTTTGTGCAATGGATCAATGAGGATCACCTCAAAAAACTTGTATGTGGAATCTTCACCAACCCAGTAAGAGTTCGGGACTCGCAGAGCCCCACAGTGACGCCCCGCTTGTTCCTCGGCCACAGACTGCAGGCTCCGTGCAAACTTGAGCTGGTTAATACTATGATGGACCGGCTTGCTATAGTTCCAACCCTCAGGCACAGGGCGCTTGTGGCCACCATGGTGGAGCACACGAATCCTGATGGCTGCCAGCCGACGGAAAGGAAGAAACTAGAATGGAATAATATTTTCTAAACATGCAACTCAACAGTATGTTGGCTATGCACATTTGTATTCAAATTTGAGTTACTATTAAAACTTAGGCAGGGGACTCCGAACTTGGGGCTGGAGGGCGGTCTTAACCTCCTACAGGGTAGCACTTGTGGGGGGTGCCTGTGCCCAAAGGAATCCGACCGGGGACTCGGCCCAAAGCTGCAGTCCGCAAGGTGGCAGCTGAGTCCCTGGCTTTGGGCGGCCAGTGTACCAATTGGTGCCGTGCTGTGCCTGCTGGCCACCCAGCAGTGAGCTCTGGGTTTTTTTTATGACATGAAATAGCAGCTTAGGGACACCCATGAATAAGGTCAGCTTTAGTGAAGGTGAGACACGAATTCCTGGTGATTCCCAGAAACAGGGACATGAAACTTTAGGGCAAGCGTGGGACTGAGACCTGAAGGTTTACACTGAGCAAACCTTAGCCCACAGGCAAGATTGGAAAACAGGGTGGAGCTCAGGACATGCCCAGATAGGTTTTTGTACCAACTGGTCTGTATGAGCCACAGATGCTGAGCCAAAGTGTCTAAGGCAGAGGTCGCAACAGGTGAATAGGGGCTGCGTTCTGGTCAGGATACACTTATTGTCTCCCTTGGCATAGTGTGGACTGGGACAAAACACACCAGGCAGGGCCAGACTGCAACACTTTTCTCATGCTCTGGAGGACCAGCGTAGATGTGGGACAGACTAGGCTAGGTCTCAACCTCAGCTGAGCCATAGATGAGCTATACGGGGGTGTGGACGAACGTGGCTGGGCTGAAACATCCTACAGCAAGAACCAGAATGGAATGAAGGCCAGTTAGGAAAAGCCACTGTTCCTGCTAGGACAGGAGGCCAACTGAACAGTACTGGCACATGGACCCACTGGTATGTGCAAAAACTGGCATTGGGAGAGGTTCTGATGGTGGAGCCTGGGCAACTCCTCTGGCAGGACACAGACCCTGCAGATAAGCGCAAGAATCATGGAAGAAAACAGCCAAGAGGTCATGGAAAGCATCCCACTGGCATGCATTTGGCACAGGTCGGGGCAGACTAGGCTGAATCAGTTCACGTCATCCAATGGTAAATCTGAATGCCAGAACAGACCGTTGGTCGACAGATGTGACCTCAGCACTCAATCGGCTCACATGAGAACCAGGAAGGGAGGGGGCAGAGCTGGCAGGGGGTTAAAGGGTGATTCCCTAGCTGAATAGCTACTCCCATTGGGGAGTGTGAGCTGGGAAGGGGGTAGACCAAACCAGGCAGGGCTACAACACCTGTGCACCTCATGTGGACTAGATCAGGGGAAAACCAGGCTGGGCTGATTATTCCTACAGGTGCAATCTACAATTAGAGTGGGTGAGGGTTGTTGGGGTTTAGCCACAACATCAGCTGGCAGAAGCTGGCACTGGGGGCTAGATCTGTCAAGTTAAACCACAGAACCACCTGGAGAGAGCACAATCTGGGAGTGGGAGTGGCCCGGGAAGGAAATAGTCGGCTCCTCCTTCTTGGGTTGCCACACCCCACGGGAAGGAATGAAAATTAGGACAGGGGCTGGGGTGGGTAGACAGACACCTGACAGCACCAGTGAAATCTAGATAGTTGAGCTGGTGCAGAAGGGAATGTGGGACAGACTGCACTAGTCTGCCACACATACTGGCAAACCAGGGTAGAGAGTGGGCCTGGTGGAGGTTATTGTGGGTCGCTCCAACTAGGCTGCAGCTCCCACTGGTTTGTGTGAGGGCCAAGTGTGCTGGGCAGAGCCAGGCTGGACTGCAACACCCATTGGTTTCAGTAGAAGACATGGATGGAAACAGAACCAACCCAGCAACTGCAACCACCAGCTGATTGGGGCAATGGACTGTACTGGACCCTGTGTTTGCTAGAGCACACAAGAACCTGGACTGGGAATACCTCAAAATTTCTTTGGAGAGCTCCCTAGTCGAAATGCCGGACTCAGAACCCTAACCAAGAAAAGACAGAACAAGTCAATCAACCACCTTAGCTATTTGTCGGCAGCGAAATACTGGACAAATGGAGACTCTATGAGGGACTGAGTCAATTAGTGGATTCTTCAATGACCTCATTGTGCTTGGAGTGGCGAGATTGGTAGCAATTCATAAAAGGTGACCTATCAAAATCACTTGAGCAAGTATCTCAGAGCATGCCCTGCATCTGGTACTTGGGGTGGGTGGGAAACTGGGTGGGGCTTCTCCCTTAATATCCCCCTTTACCTCAGATACATGAAGGAAACAATATGGAAATAACAGTGTTACCCACTTCCCTATAGCCCTTGAACCTTTTACCCTAATTAACTACGTAAGGATTGTTAAAAAAAATATAATTAAGAAAAAACATAACAACATTCCCACCTCTACCTCCCCACCAAAAAATACTGAGGCAGGTTAGCAGGTGTGATCTGTTCTGGGCATACTGGGATATGTGATCAGCTTGCTTAACAAGCCAAATCAGATGAAATAGTGTGACACAGAAGGTTAAAAGACCTGGTACACTCACAAATGTAGGTTGCTGTGAAATGCATAGCTCAAATGTGCTGTTGATGAAAAGATTGGAAAATAGTTGGGTTACTTTCAATTTATAGAGAAACAGGATTAAATAGTTACTAATTGCCCATCTTTGTGAAAAGAGAGGTTGTGAGACCAGAAAGTTGCAGGATTGTTGATTATCAGGTTAATTTAAGAGTCCCATTATGAGGGGCTAATTACTAGAGAAAATTCCAGGTATCACAATGGAAAAAAAAAAAAAAAACATGCTATTCCAGATACAAGGGAACTCCTTGTGGCCTTTGCACCGAGTTGAGCAAAAATAAATAAATTAATTAATTAAAAAATATATATTGTATTTTTCAGATTTTTCAGTATCATTGTCTTACATAAAGCTGTATTTTGTTTTGTTTTGCTTTGTTTTTTTGGAAAGGGAACTTTACTATGAAAGTATAGGAACCATTTAGGTCATTTGTTATTATTTATTATCTTAGAAAATATTTTTAATTGTTTTCATTTTTGGAAAGGCAGTCTACAGAGAGAAGGAGAGACAGAGGAAAAGATCTCCCACCTTCTGGTTCACTCCACAAGTGGCTGCAGCAACCTGAGCTGAGCAGATCCAAAACCAGAAGCCAAGAGGCAGGAGCTTTCCTCAGGTCTCCCATGCATGCAGGGTCGCAAGGCCTTAGACCATCCTTGAACCACAAGCAAAGAAATGGATGGGAAGATGGGAAGTGGAGTAGCCAGGATACGAACCGGTAAACATATGGGATCCTGGCACAGGCAAAATTAGGACTTTAACCACTAAGATACTTTTAATGGCCTAAGCAGGCATATTTAAAATGTAACAACTTATACAAAAGTATTCAAAAACAGCATAGTAATTTTTCTGATTTCAATTGCTTATAGTCTTTATTGAATTGTGGATAATATGAGCAAGGTGAAAATATTAAATATTTGGTTTTCTACAATTTATTCATAGTGTTCCAAAAAAGATATTTGAAGTCAATTTTACATAGATATTCAAAAATTACTACTTCAAGATTGGTTAATCTCATAAACTAAGCTACTTTACACTGTTGGCTGTATTAAAATGACATTGTAGAACCATACATTATTTTAATCCTCATTCTCTAACCTTGTCCTCTGTACAGGTGCTATTTATTGCACAAGGGTGAGAACAAAGTCAGCAGGCAGATCAGTGCTGAGGTCATGAAATCTTTCCCACTGCTGTTTATTCTAGGAATCCACTAACATAATTCTTTGCCAAATCTTATTAGTTCAGATATGAGCCTCGGTCCCAGCAGAAAGCTATCCTTGATTAATTTATGCAGCTACTCAGTTCCATTTCCTATTAATAGAGTGTTTATCATATAACTATATTCAAAGACTTAGCATTTTATCTGATTTATAAACACATTTAATGCATTTTGCTGATGCGAGTTTTAATGTATTTAATAAAATGCTCTATAAACTTTATTATTAATGTGTAAATTCCGTTGATGACTGAGTAAAGACTATATCTTCTATCTGGGTCATGCTGCATGCAATTTATAACTATCTCAGTGTGTTACTTGCATGCTTATAGAAAGTGTAAAGAAGGCTTGAAATGAGCCTCGGTCAGCTTAGGTGACATACTTAGGTGGGGTAGATTTAAGATGTTAATGAAAAGTTCATAGACATCCAATCTCTCTTGAAAAACTATTTATAATTAGCTGTGGAAATTTAATTGACCATTATTTTCTCAAAATTAAAAGTATTGACTAGAGAACAAAATTCATCGTAATTCTCCCGTAACATCTAAATTACAGTGTTTAGCTATAGGAATTTTGAAGCTTTGATTTCTTTCATATTAAGTTTACTTTTCTGGTGTGCATTTTGGTTGTGAGAAACATAATTTTCAGAAGTCAATAACAGTAAATGCCTATTTACAGGTTGTTTCCAAGTCATTGTGCAGAGGTATATGGCCAACAGGAAAAATGATTGTTGACAGTGCTGGCGATTTTTGATACCAACAAAACTTTATTCTATACATATGTTTCCCAGAACATATCTTTATTTTCAACATACAGGACTAATGATTAAATTACTCAGATTTTTATAGATAGATTTTTGATGTATGTTGTCAAAATTGAATTTTTTCATTGAATCATCTATGTAAGTTCAGCCAGCCTAATACCATTTAGAAGTTCAGGTACTTCTTGGAAACATTCATTTCTGTGATGCTGAATCAACCAAAAAATGATACAACCAAAAATTGGTGATATATATTTCCATAGACCTTTTTCTCCTTAAAAGCATGCATCAGAGGATAGTCTAATATATTTGGTATTCTATACTTACATTGAAAAAGTCTTCTTAATTTGGTATTGCAATATACATAATGTATAATTTTATGACTTTGAATAACATGCAAAGAAACTAAATGCCAATGTGCAAGTAGAAGCGTTTGTTTGATAAGTGATGGGATGACTGGGC